AAGTCTCCCAATTGACTTCCATGCCTGAGGTGGTACTAGAACTCACCGTCTCCTGGTATTTGGCTCAAAGTCTCCCAGCTGGCTTTTATGGCAAAGGCAGGATTATGACTCACAGTCACCCATAAGAGAGGAGGAAGAGAAAGAGGAGGACTGTGGGACCTTAAGTTTCCCTCCGAGCTTGTTTGTTTTGTTCTAGACATTTCATGACCCAACTAGGTAACAGCATCAGGGCTAGAAGGGTGCAGGATTTCCTCTCTGTTCATATACATCTGTAGTGGCTCGTCCTGTCGTTGGTAGGAGTGTGTTTTCCTCCTTGGCTATTTCCTCGATTACCAAGGAAATACCAACGCTTGATGAGACTGTTGTTTTTGATGGTCTGAATTTGTGGTGTCTTAATTTGTGGCATCTTGTTTACCGCGTCACTGTTGGTCTGGCACCAAAACTAAAACCGGTGCCTTTTTCTCCCTCTTCTTTCAGAGTGATTTCTAGCAGCATCCAGCTTCTGGTACAGGATTTGGACGGCGCTTGTGATCCAGCCCTCACCGCCATGAGCAAAGTAAAACGTTTTAAGGAATTTCAGAAGGATTCGGGGCAGGGGCGGGCTTCGAAAATTTTTAGCAACCGGTTCTCTGCCCGGTTGCTGGGTGGGTGGGGCCACGATGGGCATGGCCTAGGCGGCCTTCTGCACCACGGTGGCGGGGGGAGGGCATTTTTGTCCTCCCTGGGCTCCAAAGGTTTTCCTCGAGCCTCCGGAGGGGAAATACTGCCCCCCCCAGGCTCCTGAGGCCCTCTGGAGGCCAGAAACGGGCCTGTTTCCGGCCTTCCGGCAGCTCCGCAAGGCCCGTTTTCTGCTCTCCCCGACCCTCCGCGTGGGCCCTGCACTTACCTTGCACCCAAAACGGGCCGCATGAAGACTCTTGGGAGGGGAGGGGCAGGTGGGAGGGGCCAGACAGGTGCGGTTCACTGAACCGGCCATAAAATTAGCAACCGATTCACCCAAACTGGAGCGAACCGGTCGCAGCCCAACCTCGATTTTTTTTTTCGGTGCAGAAATTTAACCGATTTTTTTTTTTTTCTCCGTGCAGAAATTTAACCAATTCTGCACCCCTGTTTTTTTGCCTGCTGCTCCTTGGCTTAGAACATATTTATCATTTGGGAAATAATTTCTTCTCACTTATCTTTTAAGGAGCCATTTTTATGTAGAAAAAAGGGCCCCAGTCTTATTGAGGGGTGTGGAGAGAAATGCTCAGTTCCTTTCTTGTTTCAAACCCTTCCCTTTTTTGCGCGCCTGGGAAGCCGTCACAGTTGCTGAGAAAACTTGAAACTTGAGAATTGGGGTTTGGACGCTTTTTTTTAAAAAAAGAGGATGATTGTCACGTTCAAACCCAGGAAAGGGTGTAACATTTGCTAGATTGACACTCCTTCCTGAGGGAATTGTCGCCGTGCCTGAAAGCTTTTCTTTTTTTAAATTGTGTGTGTGTTTGGTGGGTGGGGTGCGAACACGGGGTTGTCTGCCAAAAGGAAGGGAGACAAATATGAAAGGTTTTGAGTGAAAGAGAGATCGGGTTTGTAAAGTTTGAGTTTTGTATTTAGTTCCTCTGTTTTTTTAACTACACTGCTCAAAAAAATAAAGGGAATACAGATATAGATGTACAGTAGATATAGATACGATATAGATACAATATAATAGATACAATATAGACTAGCTATAGATATACAATAGAGATATACGTATCTATGATGTAAATACAGTTCTACAGAGGAATTATTGATGATAATCTGCACGTCTATAACTGTAGATATACACTGCTCAAAAAAATAAAGGGAACACAAAAATAAGACATCCTAGATCTGAATGAATGAAATATTCTTATTAAATACTTTGTTCATTACATAGCTGAATGTGCTGATAACAAAATCACACAAAAATTATCAATGGAAATCAAATTTAGCAACCCATGGAGGTCTGGATTTGGAGTTACTCTCAAAATTAAAGCGGAAAAAAACACTACAGGCTGATCCAACTTTGATGTAATGTCCTTAAACAAGTCAAAATGAGGCTCGGTAGTGTGTGTGGCCTCCATGTGCCTGTATGACCTCCCTACAACGCCTGGGCATGCTCCTGATGAGGTGGCGGATGGTCTCCTGAGGGATCTCCTCCCACACCTGGACTAAAGCATCCCCCAACTCCTGGACAGTCTGTGGTGCAACGTGGTGTTGGTGGATGGAGCGAGACATGATGTCCCAGATGTGCTCAACTGGATCCAGGTCTGGGGAACGGGCGGGCCAGTCCATAGCATCAATGCCTTCGTCTTGCAGGAACTGCTGACACACTCCAGCCACATGAGGTCTAGCATTGTCGTGCATTAGGAGGAACCCAGGGCCAACTGCACCAGCATATGGTCTCAAAAGGGGTCTGAGGATCTCATCTCGGTACCTAATGGCAGTCAGGCTACCTCTGGCGAGCACATGGAGGGCTGTGCGGCCCCCTAAAGAAATGCCACCCCACACCATTACTGACCCACTGCCAAACCGGTCATGCTGGAGGATGTTGCAGGCAGCAGAACGTTCTCCATGGTGTCTCCAGACTCTGTCACATCTGTCACATGTGCTCAGTGTGAACCTGCTTTCATCTGTGAAGAGCACAGGGCACTAGTGGCAAATTTGCCAATCTTGGTGTTCTCTGGCAAATGCCAAATGTCCTGCACGGTGTTGGGCTGTAAGCACAACCCCCACCTGTGGACATCAGGCCCTCATACCACCCTCATGGAGCCTGTTTCTGACCATTTGAGCAGCCACATGCACATTTGTGGCCCGCTGGAGGTCATTTTGCAGGGCTCTGGCAGTGCTCTTCCTTTCCCTCCTTGCACAAAGGTGGAAGTAGCTGTCCTGATGTTGGGTTGTTGCCCCCCTATGGCCTCCTCCACGTCTTTTGATGTACTGGCCTGTCTCCTGGTAGCGCCTCCATGCTCTGGACACTACGCTGACAGACACAGCAAACCTTCTTTCCACAGCTCGCATTGATGTGCCATCCTGGATGAGCTGCACTACCTGAGCCACTTGTGTGGGTTGTAGACTCCATCTCATGCTACCACTAGAGCGAAAGCACCGCCAGCATTCAAAAGTGACCAAACCATCAGCCAGAAAGCATAGGAACCGAGAAGTGGTCTGTGGTCACCACCTGCAGAACCACTCCTTTATTGGGGATGTCTTGCTACCTGCCTCTGCTTTCCACCTGTTGTCTATTCCATTTGCACAACAGCAGGTGAAATGGATTGTCAATCAGTCTTGCTACCTAAGTGGACAGTCTGATTTCACAGAAGTGTGACTGACTTGGAGTTACATTGTGTTGTTGAAGTGTTCCCTTTATTTTTTTTGAGCAGTGTATTTTATTCAAGTCGATCATAGGAATAGCAACAAAACTAGAGAAATACGAATATGAGCAAAAATGGAGAAAGTTAAAGAAGAAAGTTTTGAAAAGAAGGAAAAAAGTGCAGAAAGGGGAAAAATTGGTAGATGAGGGCAGCACATAAATCTAATAAATTATAATATAATATAATATAATATAATATAATATAATATAATATAATATAATATAATATAATATAATATAATATAGTATAATATAGTATAATATAATATAATATATAATAATATGACTTCCAACTTTTTTGTGTGCAATAAAATATAAAAATAAGTTACAACCTCAACCTTTGGCTGTACATTGCTAAAGGTTTTGAGCTATTTCTATAACAATAAAATTATTCTGGTCCTCAAAATCTAAAATCAAAGTTTCATATATTTTTTCCCCCAGTCTGTAATACAAAATCCAGAAGTGTTTTTCCCAATGGCAACACATCTGTTCTCTTTAATTAGAGCGATTGGTTTCACCAACTCCGACAGCTCTATCAACAAATAATCTTCTCAGGTTATTTATAAGATACTGGCAAATATTTATTTATTTGTATCCCGTCTTTTATTTTACAAATAACTCAAGGCAGCGAATATATCCAACACACGTTCCTCCTCCTATTTTCCCCATAACGACAACCTTGTGAGGTGGGTAAAGAGAGGGATGGCCCAATTGGCTGTCATGTCTAAGGCGGGACTAGAAATCACCATCTTCTTCTGATTGGCCCCAAATCACTCACATGACTTTCATGCTAAAGACGGGACTAGAACTCACTGACTCCTAATAATTGGTCCAAAGTCACTCAACTGGCTGTCATGCCTAAGGTGGGACTAGAATTCACAGTCTCTTGCTGATTGGCCTAAAATCACCCAGCTGGCTGTCATGCCTAAGGTGGGACTAGAACTCACCGTCTCCTGATGATTGGTCCAAAGTCACCCAATGGCTGTCATGCCTAAAGTGGGACTAGAACTCTCAATCTCACACTTTCCAGCCTCGTGCCATAACCCCTACACCAAACAGCCTCTCTTCACTTTCTATACTTTTCACCTCTTTCAAATGCAAACCCCCACAAAAATATTCCTGACTTGATATCATCTTCAAAAGGCGAATTTTGAAAGCCAAATAGAGCATTTTAAAATATTTCATAAACTAGATATTCCCTTCTCTTTCACTGGGACAATCAGTTTTCCCATCTCAGCAGTTGCTATCAGTTTTTAAATTTAGCGTCTTGTTCTTAAATTTCCCACCGCTTTTCTTCCTTCTGTTTCTTTGGCAGAGAAGGGGGGTTACCGAAACACCCCCCTTCTTCCCTTACAAATACAGATAGAAGGGGCCAAACGCACAAGCCCATGCTGGCAGGGGAATTCTGGGAGTTGAAGTCCACCCATCCTCAGGTTCCCAAAGTTGTAAAACACAGGACTTAATGTACTTTACCGTGTTTCTCCAAAAACAAGACCCTGTCTTATAATTTTTTTAGCCACCAAAAAAGGCACCAGGTCTTATTTGGGGGGGATGTCATCCACTGACTAACCTCACTTGTGGGCGTCGCCTCTGGCCTCCTTTTCGCTGTCAGAGGCCTTCAGGAACTGCAGCCGGCAAGGCTTTCCTAAAGGCCTATACGGCTGATAACAGAGCTCAGGATCGATCCAGAGCTTTGCTCTCAGCTCCAGAGGCCTTCAGGAAAGTCTTGCCAGCCATGCTGGCTGCAGAAGAACTGGGCCGGCAAGGCGGGTGTCGGGGTGTGCAAGGCCTGGCTACACCTGTCCAAAGGTAAGTTGTAGGGCAGCTCCACCCTCTATCCCCACCCTGGCTTAATTTTTATCTGTGCACTCTGGAGTGGTCGGGATCTTAATTAGGGTTTATTTTGGGGGTAGGGCTTATATTGGGTGGACGTGTAAAAATCAAGCTAGGACTTATTTTCAGGGTAGGTTGTATTTTCAGGGAAACAGGGTAGCTGTGCCTTTTTTTTTTTTTCCACTTTTGTTCTTTCATTGCCTCTGGTTGTCCTGGCTCGGTGAGCGCGCACGAAGCTGCACGTATTTGGGTGAAAATCTGGTTTCATGCACGATACCTATTTTAAAGATAAGATTTGATTTTATTTACTTTTCCCAGCCCTTGGCTCTTTCACCTGGTTTTTTTTTGTCGACACGTAGGGGTGAGTATCTCACGCTTCAATAAGATTAGCAGGGCAGTTTGATTTCTTGACGCAAAGTCAAGTGCTTTTCAGGTGTGAGAATCCCCACACAGTGAGATTTCAATCCCTTTTTTTAAAGCAGGCAGCTATCTGGTCACCGTGGGAAAAACTTTTTCTACGGTTGCGCGGAGGTTAAATTAGGAATCACAGGGAGTCCTCGACTTACAACCAAAATTGAGCCCACAATTTGTGTCGGGACATTTGTTAAAGTGAGTTTTGCCCCCCCTTTTTTGCCACCGTTGTTAAGTGAATCGCTGCAGTTGTTCAGCTAGTAACCCCGTTGTTACATGAATCTGGCTTTCCCCATTGACTTGGCTGGTTAGAAGGTCACAAAAGGAGATCATGTGACCCCGGTACATTGCAGCTGTCGTAAATATGAGTCAGTTTCCAAGCATTTGAAGTTTGATCATGGGATCGCAGGGAAACTGCAACAGTCATAAGCATGAAAAATGATCACGTCACTTTTTTCAGTATCGTAACTTCAAACAGTCAGTAAGTGAACTGTCGTAAGTTGAGGACCACCTGTAAGGAGATTAAGATGCCCATTTAAATTTAGAATATTTAAAAAGTTTAACCTCTGGCCCACCTCACCTCAATTCCTCCACAGGTTTGCTGTGAATAGGCTTAACGTGGCTTAACAAGGGACTTTTAAAAGGTTTTTAAAAATAATAATAATTGGTGTAATTAATTGATGTGGAAATAACCAGGGATTGTAGAAGAGAAGAAAATGAATTGGAGAAGATCAAAATGCTTCAAGATCTGAAAATGAGAGTTGGAAGATTGTGACATAAACTGGCTGTGGAGGTCCCAGGGGTGAATTCGCATACTGGGTGCCATACCAAAAAAATCTTGGATGGTGCATGGGAAGCCTGGGTGTTGATCAAATTTTTATCTGTCAATTGCAAAAGGCCACAGTGCCTGGATCTGCACATGGAACCAGTGTGGTGTGGTGGTGGTGTTAGCTTAGAAACCAGGAGACAGTGAGTTCTAGTCCTGCCTTATGAATGAAAGCAGGAAATGGTAAACTCTAATCCCGCCTTAGGCATGAAAGACGATTGGGTGACTTTGAGCCAATCATCAGGAGATGGTGAGTTCTAGACCCACCTGAGGCAGGAAAGCTGAATGGGGTGACTTTGAGCCAATCATCAGGAGATGGTGAGTTCTAGTCCTGCCTTAGGTATGAAAGCAGGCTGGGAGGCTTTGGGCCAATCACCAGGAGATGGTGA